GAAATGTGACCTCAGGCTCTCAAAGGATTTGTTCCCCAGATGCAAAGGGCTTCTAGTGTTAGTATAGATTCGCTCCGGTTGGCGTTTATTTAGAGTAATAGATTTTCTAAGCCAGAACCTGCTGTAGAGAGCAGGCTTGGCTCCTGGAATCCCAGACGCTTGTCATTTGGGGAAAGAGGAAGAACCCTTCTTTCATTGAGTATGCACTTACGATGCGCACACGACTACTTGTGATTGACCTCGCAGATTTGCAAATGGCTTTGAAACCAGGTGCATTCATGAGTGTGTTTTTAAACAGCTAAAGTGCTTTCTCTGACCAAAGTACAGAGGGCTTCAGAAAGCCTCATGATCGTGCTATTTCATTTTCCAAGAACTTCTTGTCATCAGAACCCTCTTTTCTTTTATGGACCTGATCGGGTCAATAGGTGTTCCACTCACAACTCCTGCCCTCCTATTCCCTAGTAACCCCAAACCTGGTGGTTTGGACCCACCAGCAGTGACCCAGAGGGAGAAAGGTGTGGTGGTCTGCTTTTGTTGAGATTTATAGCATTGGAAGCCCTGTGCGGTCACTCCTGTAGTGTGTCTGTGCTTTGGGATCAGCTGGACTGCAGTGGGTAGGATGGGGTGGTGGCATACTATGAGCCATGAAAGCCGTACCACGTGGGGTCACCGTGCTGTGAATGGACTCGAGGGCTACTGCCTTGTTTCCTAATAACCAGATGTGGGTCACTCTCCAAGGAGGGCTCCTTCCGGGAAAGAATATGTGTCCGTCTTCCTCAGTCTAAAACAGCAAAGCTGTGTTCACGTTGAAGAGAAAATGGCCCAGGGTGGCATTTTCGTTACCATTTTAAAACATTTCATAAACGGTTATAGGAGTTACTCTGTATAAAATACTTGTGTTGTCCACTGTGAACCAAGTACAGTACTGGAGCATGTCTTGTACAAGTGCTGTATTGTTGGAAGAGGAGGCTGATTGGCATTAGGGAACTGATTTTAGTTGTAGCTCCTAATGAACCCACTGTCATGGGTGAGTCCCCCCCATGGTGACCCTGGGTAGGCGTTCTGAGACAACCTTCACAGCAGACCTCCTTTGGGGCAGCTGGGCTGGTGGTTTGACCTTGCTGACCTTGCATTTAGCTGCCCAGCAGCACCAGGGACCAGGGACCCTTTGACAAAGAGACACGATAAATCCTCCCTACCCTTTCTCCCTCCTGAGGCACAGGAACAACTATTAGAATTGAGGGCTGTCACCCACCGTTGGGTGAAGGTGGAAAGGGGATCAGTTTGAGGAGAGGAGATTAAAAAGAAAGGGTTCCTAGTTAATTCCTTGTCCTGGACTTCTTGGTCCCACCTTAACTTAGAGAAGGCCTGCTGGGTGATTTGAAACTTGAAATGTGTTTTCTTGGAGAAACAATGTTCTCTAAATGGCTGTTAAGTCTGGGAAGTTGGCCCTCAGACAACCTATTTGGTAACAGTGCAGTTTGGATTTTTCAATGAAAATGTAGGAAACTATTGCTTTGCTTGGATGCTACAGAAAACAAAGATTTGTGTGTGTGTTTGTTTGGTTTTCTACCCTATACTCATCTTAGAAAAAGCCAGTTCGATTGAAGGAAGCCAGAGATAGAAAACTAAACTACATGCCTAAAGAGTAGAAACCCAACTAGCTCCGTACCCATCAGATAGCCTCCTCCAAGTTGTAGGTGCAGATATAAAAGTGCCTGTTCACCCTGACTTGGATGTCTGCTCTCTGCTGTCCTGGGAGGATTTGGGGTGCTAGAAGAACCTAGGACCTTGTCTTGTTTTTATTTCCCCCCTGGATTAGAACCTCTGGTTTATTCTGGAAGTAGATTGGGAGGTTGTGTTTCATACAGGCCTGACCTTACTACCCACAGCCCCAAACTTTGTCTTCCCTGACTCCGTCGCTCATACATGTTTCAGGGAGCAGGAGGAAGATGGGCCTACCTTCCTCTATTGCTGAGCAGAACACCTTTTCACCTAGGACCTGGGGAGGACTGAACCGACTCCAGGCCTGCTGGCTGCGTGCAGAGCTGTGAATGAAGCCCTTTCCTGGTCTCTGTTTGTTGTAAGCTTATTCCCCAGTGGCTGCTGTATATCCGCCCTGTTCCAGGGCTAACATTTCTTTACATCTTAGCCATACCACTCCGTATTTTGTTGCTGTCTACTCATGGGAAAAAATTAACGCTATTGGCTGCATCTGCCTCGGGTCCCCCATCCTAGACTTCCCCTCCCCACAGGAGGAAGCTGTCCCACTCCGTGCGCCCCTGAGTAGACTTGCCTTTTTAATGCGTGTTCTTATTTCTTGGTCATATTTGTAGGACCCCTAGGGTCCCACCTTCAGCCCTCTTCCTAGGAAATTCACACTTCACAGCTCTTAGCTGAATGTGCCCAAATAAATAGTTGAAACCCAGACTTTTCCCTGAGCTCTAACCCACATCTCCAGCTGTTGCTGAAATAAATCTTCCACGTGGACATCCCACGGGAACCTTAAGCTTGGTGTCCCCCAGAGGTCCATTACATCTAAGCCAGTGGTTCTCAACCTGGGTGTCATGACCCCTTTGGGGGACAAACGACCTTTTCACAAGGGTCTCCCAATTCATAAGTAGCAAAATTACAGTTATGTAGTAGCAACGAAAATGATTTTATAATTGGAGGTCACTGCAACATGAGGAACTGTATTAAAGGGTTACAGCATTAGGAAGGTTGAGAACCACTGTTCTAAGTGGCTCTCTTAACCAGACCACTGCCCCCTCCTCCCATCATTACCCAGACCCAACAGTTGAAAACCTGCACATTGGAAATCCTCCCCCCACCCCACCCCCAGTTTCTTGACTTTTCCTGCTCCTGCTTCAGCAAAGGTGTTCTGATCCACATCTGAGTACATGGTGTTAGTTTTGGTTGAGCCATTTTGATGGAAAATTGCACTGATTAAAGTGGAATTTTACCAGTTGTGCGAATGTCCAAGAAGTGATACTACTCGGTGAGCTGGGAAGCAAACGCAGCCAGACAGGATGGCTCTTTTCATTCCTCCTCACATAACTCTGGGCAGGTTGGTGTGTAATTTTGTGTACCGTGTTTCCAAAGTATTTGTCAGATTCTAGAAAGCTCCCCAAGCAGGTGGGTCCCCAAAGTTAGCCTCTCTATTTCAGGTGTTCTGACTGTCGGTAGAGGGAAGAAGGTGGTGATGCCTGGAGGAGAGTAGCAGGGAGAGTAGATCTGCAGGCACCTTGAACGCGGGGCTTCTGAAGGGTGGTGGAAAAGGGTAGTCTTGGGTTGTGAGTATCTGATCATCCAAAAAGTCTTTTTCAAGGGGGTGCTGGAGGCAATGAAAAGCTACCAAGTATACTCCATCATAAATAGTAGCAATTACTAGAGCAACACAGGACTTTAGTTGGAAGGTGAAAGCATTATTTCTTTACTCTTTCAAAACCGTCAGCACCCGCCTTAGAGATGCCTGCTGCTTGGTGCTGCCAGAAGATTGCCTGCTCCCCTGGCTGTCTTCCTGGGGCATGGCCACAGTAGATCAGACTCCTTAAAACAAGGTCTCAGTCACCCACAAAGCTCAAATACACACGAATCAACGTGGGAGATAGGCTCCAATGAGGTCTTAAACTTGTTACTGTGTTTGGAGTGAGTGAGGGTTTTACAGAGCACACTGGCCTCTCCCCTAGTTCATGCATGCACACTCTTGTTTAGCATGGAGCGCTGTCCTCATTGTGCAGTAGAACTAAGTCCTCCTCTGCCTTCCGAGCTTTGTCTCGGGGCTTTCAAAAGCCTCTAGTTCTGCAGTGGGTGCCTCACCTGGTGTTAGAGTGAGCCCACCCTATAACCTGTTCATGTTTGGTTAAAAATGGAGCCACAAGGGTGAGATCAGTTTAGGAGTCGTCTCAGAACAGTAAGCCTGTCTGTTAGGATTCTGAGTTTAGCGTTTCCTTCGCGCTTTATCATGTCCCTCAGAGTGGTCTGCACTGGTAGGGGCGTGTCAAGGGCGCCCAACCTGGTTGTGCTGGTCTCGAGGTTGTGGGCGCTGTGGGTCGTGTGGACTGTTTCCTCCTGTCTTCGGTTCCTTCACACTGCCTGCGTTGCATGGGAGAGATCCGCAGTGGCACCCTGGGTGCACCTTGCACTATTCAAATGACCGACATTCAAAAAAGTCGTGATGCCTTTGGGTGGATTTGAATTCTGACTCTGACTTTCAAGCTCTCCAAAGGGGAGGGGATTTTGTGGTCAGGAAAAAGAAAGTAATACTTAACAGCCTTCTTCCTAGGAAGACTTCCCTTTCATGTAACCCAAATTAATCTTGGTTTGGTATTAAGGTCTCTGCATTTTTCTCAGTGTCAAGGTAATCTGTACAAAAATTAAAATTTGATTAAAGAAAATGCAGAAACTTAGACCAAATTTCCTGGTGATCTTGTTAGCAAAGGGGAAGTCCTCCCAACAACTCCTGGTATCTTCACTTAGTGTTTTCATTGAGTAATGTCTTCCGTTGGAAAGAAAGGATACCATATTTTTTACGTAACTGGTAGCACACTCCATCTTCATTTCTGTGTTTTTTAAAAAAAAGGAAAATGGTTTTTAGAATTGGTGTGTGCCCAAGCCTCAGTTGTGCGCCCTAGCGCCCCGCCCCTCTCCTTTTCAGGAAACACCTGAGGGGGTTGGTTGGCAAGGCACATAATTTTCGTGAATCTGGTTTTACTTTCTTCACTTACACTTCATAAGAACCCCTGTTTCTCTCTGTGGAAAACAGTGTTATACACAGCCAGTGACAAAAACAGAGGCCCTTACCGAGGCATACATGGAGAAAACAAATAGATTTACACAAAGAAAGCCCCTAGATAGACAAATAAGGATAGTGCTTTGAATGGGATGATTTTTTCATTTATACCTGATTTGGGACTGGGTAGACAATGTTTATGGTGGGAGTTTTTGTTAGTTTCCAATATGGTTTTTGAAGGCATAATCCTTTTTTTTTTTATTCACAGGTTCAAGAACTTGTCCTGGACAACTGCAAATCAAATGATGGAAAGATTGAGGGTTTAACAGCTGAATTTGTGAACTTAGAGTTCCTCAGCTTAATAAATGTAGGCTTGATTTCAGTTTCAAATTTCCCAAAACTACCGAAATTGAAAAAGGTAAGTGATTTTTCTTTAACAGTACAAGAGAACTGCCCTGAACAGGGGAAACGTGATTTTTTTTAAAAACATTTTATTAGGGGCTCATACAACTATTATCGTAATCCATACACACGTCAATTGTGTAAAGCGCATTTGTACATCATTCTCAAAACATTTTCTCTCCGCTTAAACCCCTGACATCAGGTCCTCAGTTTTCCCTTCCCTCCCCGCTCCCCCTTCCCTCATGAGCCCTCGATAGTTTATAAATTGGTATTTTGTCATATCTTGCCCTGTCCGACATCTCCCTTCACCCACTTTTCACTTGTCTGTCCCCCAGGGAGGAAGTCACATATAGTTCCTTGTAATCGGTTCCCTCTTTCCTACCCATTCTCCCTTTACCCTCCCTGTTTCGCCACTCACACCACTGGTCCTGTAGGGCGAAACATGTGATTTTACCTGTGAGGAAGCACTTAGGATAACAGAAAGCACCTGGCCTTTGGAACTGAGCGGATCGGGAGTTGAATTCCAGTGCTATCATTTCCTTCATGGGTGATCTTCCTCGGGTTACTTAATCTCCCCAGGACTCGATTTCTTCACCTATAAACACCGGTGATGCCACTTCACCTTGCAGAATGGATGCTATTTTTGCAAAGAATGATGCTGGGTGCTCAGTAAATAACCTTTATGTGGAATGATTATTTTCTGGATAATTTTAATTGTTAAACAACGTGTATTGTTCTAGCATTAACTAGATTTTATTCTTAATGGGTTCTGGTTCCGGAATCAGGTTCCTCCCACTCTTCATAGTTTGTCTATTTGGGGTGAGTTTTAGTAAAGGTGCTTCAGATTGTATAGTTTGATAAGATAATCAGTCTGCTGTAGTCTTGATGTTGAGGGAGGAGTTTTGAGGCCTGTGGTAGCTGACCAGAATTTCTTTGTTGTCACAAAACTGCTGGATTTCTTCATCCTAACTGAGGCCCTGCAGTTACTGCTTTACTCTCTCCCCTTTTCTCATCTGCCCGCCAAAGGACACAACACTTAGGAACAGCATTTTCTCCTGTTCCTGCACATTTATCTGCCAGAGGGCCCACAGTACCATTTCTGTTCCAGCCCTTTGTTTGAACACAGTAACAGACCCAGAAAAGAGTTTGCATTTCCTAACCTGTTCTGGTATGCAGAACAGTGTCTGGTTATTATTACATGTCCCGTAATTCTCCACTGTTTGGTTGATTGTTAGATTACAGAACCTGAGTAGACAAAGGTGCCTGGAAAGAGATTTGTTTTCAATGATTAAATTCAGATGTAGGCTGTACATGTGGCTTGCAAGAGTCCCGAGAAGGACTTGTCTACAGCAAACAAGGAATGGGATATGTAAAATGCTCTAAATTTGCTGTGCTTGGGCAGCAAATGCTTGAGTGGACCTCATGCCTTTCAGGTGGCCCTGGGTTTTTTTTTGTTTGGTTGGTTGTTTTCAACAGGAAGAATTGTATTTAAATTGGTGGTTTTCTCCTTCGAAACATGTGCTTTATTTAGAAGTTTGGGTATAATCCTGTTTTATATTTGCGTGGGTTGTCAGTGACACTGAAGGCTCTGATTAGCTTAGAATGACTTGACGTTGGAGTTGCCAGTTAAAGCATGTCCGTTTCTGTTCTGTGTCATAGCATGCTGGTATGTTTATCTAAAGTACTGTGGTCTCCCTACTGTCAGTCCATTCAGAAAGTTCGTACTAGGGGCTTTGTGTGTTGCCCTTATTCAATCGTTCTGTTGTTTTTAAACTTGCAAGTACGACGTTCCAGAATAGGAAGGATTCCATGTTGAAGACCTAAAATGGGACACGTGGGAAAGGAGCTCTTCTAGGAGCCTTACTGGAGGTGGATTTTTGCCAGGGCTGTAGAGCGAAACGTGCTTCGCAAACTGCTCTGCCACCATCTGTGAGCTGGGCCCAGCTGCCCCCGACTCTGCCCGTCGGCAGGTGCTGCCCTTGCTTTCTGCTGGGGCAGTTACGCTTTTAGCAAGGTAGCCTCCCATCATTTCTCCTGTTGGGTTATTTTGGCACCCACATTTTACCAACCTGATTTCACTTCCTCAGCCATGACTGAGCAAGGAAGAGCCCATTGAAGGTTCTGCTTTAATCACTGGGCTGATGAGGTAGGAGTACAGGGAGCTATCAGTCACGCTTCCAGGCATCAGGTCGAACGATCTCACAGCCAAGCAGCACGCACTTTCCTTCCTAAGTTGTTAGCACAGACAGTTTTTAACAAGAGACTCTGATTTCCAAAGTGTTCACTTTCTCATTTCAAAATAGGACGGCTAGAAAGTCCTGTGGTGGATTGCCTTGCTGTTGCTGCCCCCTAAGCGATTCATGTCACAAGGAAGTGACATTACACATGTAATAGTATAACCAGCCCAAAGAAGCAGATGCTGTTGTGTAAGACCATGGCTCTTCCTCTGTCCCTCTCACTGGTTTTCTTCAAAGACCAGTGAACTTATGGGTGTTTTTTGTTTTGATTTACTAAAACTTGCCATTCGTTAACTTTACCACTTGAGTCACGGAGTTTAAAGATTTCTCTGCTCTATAGTATGTCATATATTTCATTGCGTGCCAGAGATTAATTTATATCCATCCATCCAAAGCATCTTGGGGCACAGGTTCTCCTTAAGGCAGCCTGCCACCGATTGTAGGCCCACCAGGTAACAGCATGGTGTCTTGGCATGGTCATTTTCCTTGCTGTAAATGAGGTAATCTGCTTACCTTACTGACTTGTGAAGAGCAAATGAATTTGTCTTTCTAGTACTGCAACAGTGCCTGGACCCATAAACCCTGGGTCCAGCCATTGTTGGCACCACTTAAGATACAGAATAGAAACGGGCTGTGTGGCTTCAGGTCTCCTGCCTGCCAAGTGAAGAGCTTGACGAGATGTTCTCCACAGGGCTTTCCAGGCTCAGCCTCTGACTCTTAGGATTCCAGTATTCCCTGGTGCAGGCTTGCTCCCTCCTGCATGGGCACACCACTCGCCTCCTCTCCTGCACCTGCAGCTAAGAAATTGGGTTCTTGTACAGGCCAGTGCCAGGTTATGCAAGAAATGGCCTCCAGGGAGCTGGTTTTGTCAACTCGGCTGTTGCCCCACTCCTCTTCCCGGGGCCATGGAGCTTCTGTGAGGACTCTGCTAGGCTGTGGCCCACTTCTGTCGACTTCCCAGCAACAGTCCCCAGGGCTTCCAGGTGTAGAGCCCCATGGGGTGTCAGCACAGAGCCATAGCAGCTTATGTTTCAAGTGGGCACTACAAGCCCCGGCCGGCACACAAATCAGCAGCTAAGAATGCACGGACCATTAATCCGTCCTGGCAGGTATAGCATATTGCAACTTCTCAAAGAATTCTAACTTGCCTTGCCCTACTTTGTAGGTTAGAAGATATATTCACTGATGTGAGGCCAGTTCTCAAGCAAGCTTATTATTAGCAGCTGGTTATGAAAGCCATGCTTCTCACCCTGTCTCCTTTTCCTTCCCCTCCCTCAGTTGCTGGGACTTGTAGACCGCTTGTTTGGGTTTATTCAAGCAAAATGATTCACCTGCCCTGGTACAACTGGGATTGCCTCAACTTACTAGCTATTTGAGACTGTTTATTTATAACACCTGAATTTGTGTGTGTGTGTTTTCTCTCTTGCAGCTTGAGCTCAGTGACAATAGAATCTTCGGTGGTCTGGACATGTTAGCTGAGAAACTTCCAAACCTCACACATCTAAACTTAAGTGGGAATAAGCTGAAAGACATCAGCACTTTGGAGCCTTTGGTAAGTAGGAACGAATTTCTAAGCTAGGACTTATTGGTCATTTTCATTTTCATAATTCTCTAGTATGGGAAATGGTTGGGGATGATCGCTGAGAAATGTGATTTTTAATACTATTGTTTTAAATGCGTATATGTATATGTATGTATACTTATACATGGGTCCACTTACAAAGATCGGGGTCTCTGGTGTGTGTTCCTGTGGCTTTGTTCTCCCACCTGTGACTTCTTCAGTGGAAGAATTATTTTTGTGGGTTTTGTTTGTCTGTTTTGGTGGCCTTTTTTATATCCATTTTGACTGTCACCTTAAGGATTTGTCTTAAATTTTCTCAGACTGACCAAACCTGCCTGTATTCCTGACAGTGAAGACTTGTTGTTGAGTCCAGGTCTAAATTGTAGCACGAACAATCCAAGGATCGCACCACTGGGCCCTCAATCTGCTTGTTTTGTATCTTGAGCTCTCACTGGTCTTCACTCCTGAAGTTAAAGTTTTGCATGAACGACCCCCGCCCTGGTCTTGCATATTGGGATAGGTTTAGACCATGGCCTTAACTAAGCTTCAGTCTCCTTTATAGACTTTGCCGTGTGACCTTGGGCAAGTGGCTTCTCTCTCTGGGTTTCAGGTTCCTCAGTTTTGAAGCAGTTGGGGCACTCTCTGCCTTCTTTTAGGGATGAAACATACAGGTGTGGTGGCCAGAAACCAATCTCCCGGTGGCAAAGTACTGATCCAGGGCAGCCCCACAGGCTGTGTGGTTAACTGCCGTCTGAAATCCATCCATGTGTGATTGTTAAATGCCTGATTTCCGTATCAGTGATAGTGTGTCATTTGGCCTATAAGCAGATGTGCTTTTAGTAAGGCTGAGGGGAAGTCGAACTTGTGCCATACTGGAGGAGGAGGCGGCCTGTGGCTTCTTTCTGCATCTGCTTTCACTGATGGATGTCCACTCACTTGGGGATGCTGAGCCTGCCGTAGGCCGTAGGAGAGGTTTCTGGGGCGCTAGGAGCCAGGCAAGCACCCCCAGAGGATGGATACGTTCACCGCTGCTCCTCAGCTTCTCTGGCGATTGCTGTTCAGATCACTTTCCCAGGACAGTGTGTTATTGCAGAGGAAGAGAATTCAGTTGTGTCTTCTAATGAAGAGGATTGTAGGTCAGTACTGTTAATAATGGAGGTAATAGTATAAATGTAACTTTCTTCTACTGAGTCTTTGTTATTAAGCTTTATTAGCTGAACTGTTTTAGAGCAAGGTTTCCAACCCAGCAGCCCTGTAGGGCAGAGTAGAACTGGCCCTGTTGGGGTTTCCAGGCTGTACATCTTCAGTGGAACAAGAAGCCGCCTCTTTCTCTAGCCCCCATTTCCCATATTTAAAGAGACACTTGTTGCAATTTGCTCTAGTCAGGGACACTGACCCTGGCCAGTTGTACCCTCCTGTCTCTCAGAGAGATGAGGAAAGTGCATGGAGGAGAGCTTCAGCAAGAAGTCAAATCTAAGTTATTGGCTCTTTCCCCTGCTCTTGGGACCTGCCTTATCTTTCCTTGAATGTGTTTTGTGCCTGTGTTTCCCCTGCTGGGGCTTCCAACAGAAGCACTAATTGAGTGCTGACCACTCTCTTGGTCTGTTAGTCTACCTTTTATTAAGTATTTGCTAAGGACAAGCTTTTAGCTGCTGGGTCCCAGTGAGCATGGGAACCCTTTTATTTCTGGAACCAAGTGTTAGTGTTTTGCATCCTAGGTAGCTGGCTGTCCACTGAGTCTCAGGCAACCTGAGTCCTTGTTGATGTTTTCAGTCGGGTGCTATGTTATAGGTAATTCTCAAAACCCTTCTACCGGGTGGGTAGAATTCGCATGGTCTTTACAGATGTGGAAGCTGAGGCTTAAGGGAGGCTGACCCCTTGTCCAGAGTCACACACAGCCAGCCAGTGCCTCCCACCGGGCCAGCTCTAGCTTGGAAAGGCATGCACTCACCATTGGAAACTGCTGCGCTCAGTTTTCTGCTTCCTAGAGCTAAGGGGAGGGTCGGGGTCTCTTGAGCAAACAAGACTATAGGAGAACGTGAAGAGGGGCAAATATTGGGGCCATGATGGTTTCTGGAAGTATTCTTCGGTGGGGGAAAAGCACCATCTTCATCTTCATTAATCACATACATTTTGAACACCTACCTTGAGCCCACTTCTTGAAAGTTAATGCAATGATTGTGAATGCCTCTGCTTGCTACAGGGCCATTAACGAGAGACAAAGAAGGCATCAATTCAAACTTCTTGGACACCTTTTTTAAGAGACCTGGGCCATCCAAACCATCCCCCAAAGCCCTTCTAAATTCTAAGAAGGCAAGCAACATTATTGTTAATAAAATGTTTAATGTTTATTATGACTAGCCTATTCATAGGTGCAGAGTTGTGGGATTGATAGTTGTAATTTTTAAAGAGATTTTACAGATTACACTGGGATCCTCTGATTAATCGATGTGTGAGATTCTGTACCTGCTGGGCCACTTAAGGCACCATTTTCCTGCTTTAAATACAAATAGAGCATTTACTGCCAGGTTTTTGGTGGGTGGGAGGGCTGCTGGTTGCTTTGTTTTATTTTCAGGGATACTGTTGGTGGTGTCCCAGTTGCTTGATGGTGGGTCCTTGGGCAGGATGTAGCCAAAATCTCAGGTTTCCTACAGGCTTAGAAACTGCCTTGGATGCCTTCCGTAGCAGCAAGGTGCTCTGGGCACTGGAAAACGGTAGACACACATCGGGGCTGCTGTGTGCAACTAGGAAATGGTTTGTTGCTTCTAGGGTAGAATTTTCAAGCTGAACCTTTTTTGGGAAAGCTGCCTAAATGGACGGTGGTTACATTTAGCAGATATATTCAGTCTTGGTGAAGAGAAAAGTATTCCCAGGATGTCAGTCAGTTGTCTGCGGTGACATTTCAACCTTTCCCCCCTTGGGGCAAGAAGTCATATCTGAGCTTAGTTCCTGCTCAGTGAGGAAGCTGGTCTGGAAGCTGAACGCACTTAAGTGGCCCTCCTTAACGATTAGAGGACTGACTTGCTTGTGGACTTGTGGATTGAGCGGTGCAGCGTGTTTGTTGCTGTGATCCTGCTCAGTCAGAAGACAAGTGTGGGAACCTCCTCATTGATCAGGAAGGTGCGGGTGCTTCTCTAAGAGCAGAGGTCAGCGAGGCCCAGAGAGCAGGTTCCTGGCCATCGGCCTGCCCACCTGTCACAGGTGGCCAGGCCCTTGTGAGCACTAGCGTAGCAGAATCACTTACTCTGGGTAGTTCCCTTTTCCCTGTAATAGCATAAAGTCTTTAAGTGTCAAAAATAAAAAGGGAAATTTGTTGTTTCTTGTTTTTTCTATATTCTTAGTTCCAAGTTCTTCCTCTTGAGAAACATGAAGTTACTAAATTAATTAGAAGGGTCTAGCAGTCATGTGCCTCTGGGCGTGGTCCCTATCCTAAAGAACATAGATTATACATCACGCTTCACACTTGCTTTTCATAGGCTTTCTAAAGTCATTTTCTACTAAGGTGGATGTGTGGTCATGTCTGTTGCTGTCCTGTTACTTGCCTGTATGGTGCCTCAACCTTCCCAATATCCTAACTTAGTCAGAACTCACGGGCCTGGGAGTGAAATAGGACCTGTGGCAATTGGAGTAGAAGACATGCACATTTTGTTACCCACTTTGGCTACTAGAAAACTTTTCTTGGGTAGCTATCTTAAGATAGAGGACATTGGCTGCAAACCACAGTGAAGCATTGCAACAAAATTTGAAGATGTGGTAAAGGAATTTCCATCAGAAACCTCTGGTAAAAATGCTCCAACTTGGTATTTGCCCCATGGGGGAAAAAAGTAATGTTTCTCAGCTTCTGATGTGCCTGCTCTGTTGAGCCCACACACCCAGCTCTGTGATTTGTCTTAGACTCTGAAAAGATGTGGTTTCAATAAAAATTAATACAAAATTCCCATTTCTTTAGGCTACTGAAAAAAGGGTCTTGGTTCTCTGGGAGGACATCTGAGGGGAGGAGAACTTGGTTAAAATCTAGTACTTGAAGAATTATAAGGGCTTGAAATGCTTTCCTGTGTACAAAGCTGCAGCTAATTGAGTATAAAGCCTGGAACTGTACCTCTTCAGAAGATGGGCTTTGCTGCTTATGATGTTCCTTTTGCTTAGGAGTTGTTGTTTTTATATCCTTTTCAGAAAAAATTGGAATGTCTGAAAAGTCTGGATCTGTTTAACTGTGAGGTCACCAACTTGAATGATTACCGAGAGAGTGTCTTTAAGCTCTTGCCCCAGCTGACTTACCTGGATGGCTACGACCTTGAGGACCAGGAAGCCCCTGACTCCGATGCTGAGGTGGATGGTGTAGATGAGGAAGAGGAGGAGGAAGGTGAGTGAGCCCCTGGTTTCTACCTTTCAGAGAAAAGCATCTATGTTGCCTCACTTTGACTAAGCTCGTGGGGGTGTTGAGGCCTAACAGTGATTAAGAATAAAAGTGGGTTGTGCCTTCAATGATCCTGGATCTGCATCTGGATTGTGGGGCCCATGGGTCTCAGGCCTTTCTCTAATGCCCCTCCCACCCACCCCCCTTCTTCCTGGGAAGTGTTTCCTGGTGCCCACAAGCTAGTCAAGCTTCCTGTGTGTACAGGGCCTCTACCCTATCCTGCTGCAGGTATCTTCCTGGGGAGGGACTGTCTTTATCCATTCACCAGGGCATTGAACTCAGACACCAGTGTAGCGGCCTGGTACATGAAAATTACCGTGCTGGCTTCCACTTTTTATTAAGGAGGGAAATCTGGCCATACCTTGAAGGTCAAGTATAGGTTACAATATTGGACCAAGGTGTTTTACATTTCCCTATCGTTGAGAGTCTTTATGAATAGTTTTATTATTCCTACCTTTAAAAGTCTGTCCTGGCTCGCTTGCCTTTTCCTCGTACACTGACTCTAGCAGGGTGAAAGCTTCCTCACCCCAGTGGTTTAGAAGGAAGCATAAAGATTGGCTTTCTCATTGTAAGCATGAAGGGAGCCTTTGGTCCAGAAGATGGGGCAGGGGCGGCATGTTGGCTCATTTCCTAGGTACCAGGACACCATGGTAGTTGGGAAGAAATACTCTTGATCGTCGTTGTCCTGGTGCTGGCCATCTCTTCGGGAGGCAAGTGTGAAATGCACACAAATACATAGGACCAGGTGGTGGAGTGCCCTGTCGGAGCCACGGACTGTGAGAGCACCACTCTGGAATAAGGGCCCTACTTAGGTTGCCTGTGGAAGTGATGCTCCACTGAGACGAAGGCCGAGGCCAAGGTAGCCAAGCAGGAAAGAACAGGCTGCCGGGGCTCCTGATCTGGGCAGTTGGCTCTGTGGTGGTGGTCTGTCTGCCCCCAGCTTTCACTGTGCTCCACCCCCTGGATGCAGCAGTGACTGCTTCTCAGCGACCCTGTTCACTCTCACTCACTCACACACACACACACACACACACACACACACGCACGCTTCCTTGTCCACTTGCTGTGCTGTATTGTGAAGCAGATCTCAGACATTGGGCTGTTTCCTCAGAACAGCCGTGGGGAAGAATGATGGGGTTGGTGGTCTCCCCTGGTTTCAGCTCAACAGCACCTTTCCATGGCACTCTCTAGACACCGTGAAAGATGCGGCCCACCCAAACACGAAGGGTATGTAATGAGTTGCTTTGGGGACTATTTTCAGAAGGAGAAGATGAGGAAGATGAGGATGGGGAGGAGTATTTTGATGAAGAGGAGGATGAAGACGAAGATGAAGATGTGGAAGGGGAAGACGATGAAGATGAAGTCAGTGGGGAGGTCAGTGCAAGTCTGTTCTGCCTGCTTCCTTCCGATTTGTAATTTAAACTAAAGTGCAGGGTGTTTTCTGAAAAATTAGTGTACTTGGGAGTTGATCGACCATGTGCATCTGGTTACTTTGGCTTCTACCCTTGATTCCTTGTAATAAATACTAAATGGAATGCATGCTGAGACACCAGGCTTGTCTCTGCAAATTTTGAGGATAACACAGGATTTTTGTATCCCATAGAATGAAAATCCTGGAGCCAGTTATATTGATGGGAGGGCTGCTTGTGTTTTTTAGCTTGTTCTTGAATGTTTTGGCTTGATTTATTAAATTACAGGTCTGCTCTATGTAAAGAATGAGGGATTGAGGGATTGCAAGGGTCTTGCCCCCAAAGAGCAGATAGTCTAACGGTAAACCTAATACTAATAATACAATTATCTCCAAGGATCTGAATATCTTAGGACAACAGGAGAAAGGAGTACTACCTTTGACCCTCAAGGATGTTTTTGCAAAATGGAGCCAAGAGAAATTGGTTTCCTCAAAAGACACGTTCTTTTTATAGTGCACAAATGAGAAAGCTGAGCATTTGCATGGTCTCGTGGGAAAGTACCATTATCTTCTAACTCCAGTTTTCCTTGAGCCCGTTGAGTCCCTCGTGTAACGGCACTATGTTCCTGAAAGGTGTTCTCTCTAGGGATGGACTGTGCAAAACATTGCCCACATCTGCCATAAGCCTCAAGATTTTAAAATCATTTTAAAAAAGTATCCATTGTAAGTTGCACATTAAAGGTGTGTGACAGTAGACCGCTTAACTCTACGTAAGGTGTGTTTTTTAAGGACTATTTAAAAAATTGGGTTCATTAAGCGGAATCGGCAGGTGTCAGTGACCTTGTGTCTCCTTGGTGCATACTGTTTACAGAGTACACCCGCATCTGATAATGGTGTGCTGTTTACCCTTTTTTAGGAAGAAGAGTTTGGCCAAGATGGAGAAGTTGATGAAGATGAAGACGATGAGGATGAGGATGAAGATGAAGGTGGGTCTCATAGCATGCCTTTTGCTGAGAAGTTATGGTTGGTTAAAGTTAAACGAATGTTTCCTTTCATTGATTTAGAATGTGAACCAACTGAGAATACCTAGACCCACTTGATACCTAGCCTCACTTAAGTGTCAACACCAAGGGGTTGCTCTGTTTCTCAGTCCAGGCAGGAGTTTTTACTAATTAAAGAGAAAACCAGGACTATGTGTAGGGCTCTGTATATCTACTGTATAGAACATTCTAAAGAAATTTGCTCGATGAGGCTGTACCAGGTATGAGACCACAGAAAGCCGAGCATTTGAGTGGTGTCATTGTTGGAGGGGCTTCCAGAAGTTGCCTTATGTGGCCCCCAGATGAACCCTATGAGTTGGTACTGTTGTCTGTAGTATTAAATTAAATTTTGGGGGTTGGGGTCAGCCCCCACCGCTACTATTACCTACGGGCTCAGTAAGCACAATTGTACGGTTGAGATATATTGCTAACCAAAGTTCAGGGTCTTTTAAACCCAAATTAGGTGGCCCTGGCTCAGGCCGCAGTTTGCTTTTCACGGCCAGGCTGATTGGCCTGTGCTGTCTGCACTCTCATTGAAGATGACCTGTCTTCCCACAACCAAAGCACTTTTTTCTAGGTCTGATATAATTTGCCAATGTAGCTGCCATGAGGTTGGCCGTGTACTCATCTGTCTCTATGTTCCTGCATATCCCAAGACAATCTAACAGGGTGCCCTTTTCCCTGTAGGGATGCAAGGCATTTTTACAGTGCTTATTAGAGAAATCATAAGATAGCTTATGCACTAAGTCTCTTACTGCCTGAACATTTTTTTTTTTTTTTTACTTGTAGCAAGGATTACTATCAAACTCCACTCATTGGGCCAGAGACCCTTGTGGTGTTAGCGAAAACCTTGCCCATCATGTGCCTGAACATTCTTTACACACTTGGAAATAGCATCTTCTAGTCGGGACACAAAGTTGGCATAAGGCTCATCATTCCGTTGTCTTATAGCCATGTAACTCGGCTTTCTTTCTTCTGATAGAATTATCTTTTCCCAGGCACTTAAGCAAACTTCACGTATCTGTTCTATTGTCTGTTCAGTGAACTGTAGTTGGGACTCAACTGTAATATACTTCTCATCCCCTAGCAATCGATGAATTCCTGTATCTATCCCATCCTCAGCATTCCTACATGCTCGTGCCAGGACTGCTTCCTTCCACAGCATATGATATTGCAAATATTCTGAAGAGGAAAGAACATATCCTCCCTAAAACACTCCAGTCTGTAGGGGTCCAGCTTTCAGACCCTGCTAAAGTCTTTATCATGCTAATTATAAAATGTGAGTCTGGGCCATAATCATTGACTGCCTGCTTAAGATCTTTTAGCAACTTAAAAGGAAAGGCAGTATAACGCCTTTCTTGATTCCCTTCTGGGTGCTGCTCCTCAGGCTCTCCCTGTCTGTAATTCTAATGGGATAAGCTATTCTGAATTCTAAATCTGCTTCTTGAGTTATATTCTTCTCCACTCGTGAGAGCAAAGGTGCTTTTCTGTTCCCTAACTCTTTGCTGCTCACTTTCTGAGCCTCACTTTATAGTTTAAATCTCTCTATTTGCACTTCTTTGGATCTAATGTCCTCTCCTCCAGCACTGGCTTGCTTGATAGTATTGTGATTTCTCTGTGCTATATTCTGGCGGGGCAGATGGTTCCACTCTGCTATCTCCTAATTCAAACTTCACCTTCTCAGCTACACCTAAAATCTCATCTGCCTGAAACTCATTCTGCTTGCTTCTCACCTGATTTAAGTTTGTGTAGCTCAGGGACTTCTCACTACTTTGCTGGTTCTGTTTCTCTGCTTCCCCTACCTTTGAAAGCAAGGGAGCTTCCTGGGATTGCTTAATAGCCTTGCTTTGGGTCTTGGAATCCACTACCCCTAGTACTTTATCACCTTTAAATCTAGGAGGCTCCAGTCCCCCGAGGACATATAGGCTATGGCCTTGAGGTTTCTTTTAGACTCAGAGGCCTCACATAACAAATCAATCCCTGCTTCAGCTTTTCCTAAAGTTTCATCACTTAAATCATGCTCAGTCACACACACTCTGGCTTGCTTTTCTAGGTTTGAATAGACACAAGCCTTCTCACTGCACTGATAATTCTCATTCTCTTCCTCCTGCACAGGTACTAAAACCATGAACCCACAGAGACCACATCTCCATAGGGATACTCTCCCCATCTCTGTGTGCCTTCTTTAAGTTAACAGTGACCTTCTCCCAGGTCTCTAGATCAAAAATTCCTTCTTCGGGGAACCATGGATTATACCTTTTTACTACTTTCAGAAAACATTGCATTGCATCTTTTTCTTCATTACTTTTACACCCTGTCTTTTCAGTAAGTGGATGAGCATAGTACCATAAGTTGCAAGTTTACTTTTACCTTGCCCCATTGTCCTCTTTAAAATACTTATTCACTATTTCCACTACTTATCTGCCAATCCCCACACCGGATCCTCACTTCACACAATTTTCCGATTCACTCTACATTCTGGTGGGGGCTGTACAATTGTTACACGGGATATATAACTCATTGACATGCAATGGGCGCCATTTGTAGTATTAAATGGGGGGTGAGGGGCCAGCCCCCACAGCTACTACTACCTATGGGTTCAGTAAGCACAATTGTACGGTTGAGATATATATATATTAAAGTCGAGAGCATAGGAGATAAGAAATTATAACACATTACATGGTAGCATTGCTCACCTCCGCCCTGCTTGGTGATCCTTGTGGGGGGAATCTGGCTACGAGAGCAGGAGCAGCCTCGGGGACTGAGAATCGGGGAACCTCTCCTGGTCCAAGAGCCAGAGAGGGCCTCCTCTCTTTATTGCTAACTACGTATTATATCACTAGGGGGACATGCTTACAGAATCACGTCACAGGAAGGGGCAGTACAGTAGGCATACGCATTGTAGGAAGGGATGAGCTAGGGGTGTGCTCATAGGAATGGGAAGGTCTAGGGGTATACATTGACAAGATGGGCGGACCCTAGATTCATGATGGCAGTCTAATCTTGGTCATCCTTGACCTCTTTGGTGTCTCCTACAAGGAAACAGACTACTACTATCCTTATCAGAAGGGAGTGGGCCCTACTTGTTGTGGGAAACAGTGGTGTCTACTTGTAACTCTCAGGGAGAATGACCCCCCCAATCCACTCCTGATGACCTCCAAGTGTACAGTCATTCTCAAGCAGCAAAGTCTGGCATATATTTGGGGGAGACAGCTTGAGAGAAATCCTTCTGTTTTACAAAGGAGGGAACTGATGTACAGAGGTTGTGACTGCCCAAGGTCACTTAAGAGTGAGCATGTCCCCCAAAATGGGCCAGCTGATGATCCCAGGTCCTCCCTTTGTGTGTTAATAGCAGCTAGTTTAAGACCCACCTGGGAGGGACCCATTTAACATGCAGGAAGCTTGTTCTCTGGGACTTGTGGGTACCATTTGTGTTGCTTCTTAATCTCGTTTAATTTGCCTGTTGGTTTGGCACACTGTCCTTTAATTTGTCTCAAAGTGAATTTTTGTCGTGCAGAGGAGGAGGAAAGCGGTAAAGGTGAAAAGCGGAAGAGAGAAACAGATGATGAAGGAGAAGATGATTAAGACCCCAAATAACCTGCAGAAAAAGAACTGTTCAGTATTGGTTGGACTGCTCATAAGGATTTGGTAGCTGTTTAAGTTTAAAAAAAAGTAGCTGTGATTCAGAACCCCAGGACACCTGCCCACCCAAAGAGCCAAAGACTAGTTCCTGAGACATTCCACCTTCCTCTCTGTAGTCCCTCTTGGATATCCACCACCAAGCCTGGGGACTTCGCCCCACCACAATTGTAAACATTGTTAGGTGTCCCTGTGAGACTTCGCTATAGTCGGGGTAGCTGTGACCAGTGAGTCTTGAGCCATTCATGGCTGCCAGTTACACTGAGATTGTAACCACATTTTTACTTTCTGTACAACAAAGAAGCTTTGTAAATAAAATCTTAACATTTTGGGTCTGTTTTTCATGCTTTCCTTTGTGTGTTTTCTTTTTTTTTTAACATCGGACATTTTATGTCACAACTGCCAAAAGTATTTTTACGAATTTGCGTGAAATAAATACGTTCTTTGGTAATGCCAAGTTGTATGCTTAAATTTATAAGTTAGTCTCCAATCGAAGCTCTAATACCTTGTTCTGGATGACTGCGATAGGATCTAGGCCCAGAAATCCATCTTGTATGACTTAGGCTCCCCACTCCCCTTTCCAGAAAGAAATTACTCGTATAGATTATCTGCTTTGCCACACCCCGTGATCATTCTAGCACACCCACTCTGGGAGACACTTATGTATAAGGTACTCTACACACTCCCCCACCACCCTAACATGCCTCTGCCTCTCCTAACTACTCACAAAAGATTGGTGCAGGCACTGCAGTTCAGAATTTCCAGCTGACATCAATTTTTAAATGAGGCTGGTGATGCAGCTGAACAGTTGCTCTGCAGGAAAGCCACCAAGATTTCTTCAAGTGTGGAAGCCCTTCCAAAGCCAACTGGGTCAGCTTCATAAGCTCTGACCAAGTGGATATTGTATAACTTATCCCAGGGGTCCTTGGAGAGGGCATTCAGAAAAAACAAATTCATCCCCTAAAAGTGAATAGCTTCCCACCTAATACACAAGAAAATTCAAGTATTTATTTCTAAGTTGATAATATGTGTCTGAGTAAGGATAGCAGGCCTTGAGGATTTGGGTAGGGGTGGGGTCATGCAACTGCCCCTGCCCTAGAACCTTAGGGGTTTATGTTGAGGAAACCCCAGCCCCTGAAGCTTGAAGGACTCAACAAAATCCAGAGTCCTGTGTTCTGGCCACTGACCGGGTACTGGCTCTGAAGCTACTCCCCAGAATTAACTTTCAGTTCCTCAACAGAGAACGAGGAATGGCAGGCCCTTCTACCATTCTGAATATGGTACCTCCCCACGTTCTAACCAGCAACAGGAGTGCTGGAAGGTACCTGTGCCGTCTAGTAGCAAACGCACTTGGCTCCAGAGCCCTCCCAAGCAGTGGGCCAGAGTTCGGGCGGCTGGAGAAATGGCAGGGTCAGAAGGGTAGACAACAGATGGATGAGGCTGTTGCCCTCGACCAGCGAGCCAGATGAGGCTGCACCTCCATGACTAATGCAGTGTTTTCCAAAGTGGCACAGTCTTGGGAGCTAGCAGTACAGACTATCACCTAATCAAGCACCACTGCCACCTGGTATGCCTGCAACATAGTAAACCAGAATCCGACGTCACACAGGGAAACCAAAGGGTGAAATGATACACCATGCCACACAGCCAGTAAGTGGCCAAACTGGCTGCCAACCCAATTCTACCCACAGCTGCATGTCCCTCCTTAGTGCCCTGTCCTGTCTGGCTCAGTTCTGATGAGAAAATAGGCCTCTCCTGCCTTCTCAACCTAGAACTCAAAAATGCACATTGGCTAACGGTACTAATTGGCTCCAAAGGAGACCCAGAACAGAACTATGGCCGGCTATCAAAAGATAAAGCATCTGGGGTCTGAAAGGCTTTAAAGGCCATCTAGCTCAGAAGCAACAAAGCCCACATGGAAGAAGCACACCAGCCTGTGTGATCATGAGGTGTCGAAGGGATCAGCTATCAGGCATCATCAGAACAAAAAATCCTATCATTGTGAATGAGGTGGGGAGTGCAGAGTGGAGACCCAAAGCCCATTTGTAGGCCACTGGACATCCCCTTACAGAAGGGTCTCAGGGAGGAGATGAGCCAGTCAGGGTGTGATGTAGCAACGATGAAACAACTTTTCTCTTGTTCTTAAATGCTTCCTCCCCAGCCACTATCATGATCCCAATTCTACCTTACAAATCTGACTAGAGCAAAGGATGTACGCTGGTACAAATAGGAACTGGGAATCCAGGGCGGATGATCTCTTCAGGACCAGTGGTGAGAGTGGCGATACTGGGAGAAGGGAGGGTGGGTTGGAAAAGGGGAACCGATTACAAAGATCTACGTATAACCTCCTCCCTGAGGGGTGGACAACAGAAAAGTGGATGAAGGGAGAAGTCGGACAGTGCAAGATATGACAAAATTTATAAATTATCAAGGGTTCATAAGGGAGAGGAGAGCAGGGAGGGAGGAGAAAAATGAGCTGATGCCAGGGGCTTAGGTGGAGAGCAAATGTTTTGAGAAAGATGAGGGCAATGAATGTACAAATGTGCTTTACACAATTGATGTATATATGGATTATGATAATTATGAGCCCCTAATAAAATGATTACAAAAAAGAAAAACAGAACTAAATTTTAGGAACCATAAAACATTTAGTGCCAGTAAACATGTTCCATAGGCCTCTCCCCAATTTCTAAAGCTATCATACAACCGCAGTCATTGACACAGCATGGTATTATACAATGATAGAGATGCAGACCAATGGATCAGCACAGAGAACCCAGAAACAGAACTAAGCACCTATAGATACTCGATTTTTGAACACGACAAAGACACATTAAGTGAAGAAAGAAATAGCCTTTTCTTTCAATTTGCATTTTACTTATTTTTTAATTAAAGATTAGGGGCTCTTACAACTCTTGAAACAATTCATACATCAATTGTATCAGGCCTACTTGTACATTGGTTGCCATCCTTTCTTAGACATTTACTTTTTATTGAGTCCTTGGTATCAGCTCTTTTGCCCTCCATCCCCCTAACCTTTTCAATAAATAGTACAAGGAAAAAATTGATCTCTACCTGCAAAATAATGAAACAGGTCCCGTACTTCACACCATATACAAAAATGAATTCAACATGGATTAAAGACCTAAATATAAACCCTAGAACTATAATGATCACCAATGGGAAAAATAGAGGCAAAGTTAAGGGCCCTAATACAAGGTATAAATATGCTACTAAACAATGAAAAACACCCATGCTACAAAAAACAAAATAGAGGAGTGGGACCTTCTAAAAATAGGATATTTATGTCCCTCAAAAGAATTCATTTAAAAAAAAATAAAGAATTCATCAAATGAAAGAAAGAACCCACAAGTTAAAAAATATATATTTGCCAGTGATATTTCAGATAGAGAGCTAATTTTAAGAATCTAAAGAAAATTGCAACACCTTAATAATGGAAACAATCCAATCAAAAATGGGCACAGATATGAATAGACAATTTACTAGAGATGACATCTAGGTGACCCACAATCAAGAAGTGTTTGAGTGTGTTAGCCATAGGAGAAATGCAAATTACAACATCAATGAGCACCTCACACCAGCCCTCTTAGCAAAATCAAAGTAACTGGAAGTGCTGGAGAGATGGGAACACTCACACGCTGCCGGGGGGACGGCAGAACTGTACAGCCACTATGGAAAGCAGTCCGGTGCTTCTTTAAACCATAGAAATACCATCCGATCCTGCCCTCTCTCTCCTCAGTATATACCCCAAGGACATAAACAAAACATGAGCAGATACAAGCACACCCACGTTTATCACGGCAATTTCTGTACTAACCAAAAGATGGAAACAACCCAGCGCCTGGGAGTAAGAGTTCCTGTCAAGTACCCGGCTTTGCATGTCCCCCGGCAGGCCTGTGCTCCCTCTGTCAACTTTCTGCAGGCCCAGACTCAGACCCACTGCCATTGAGTTGTTTCCAGCTTGACTTAGGTCAACCCCACAGGGGCGTCCAAGGATCTGCAAATCTTCACAGGGAGCTACAGCCTCCTCTTTCTCCCGAAGAGCAACTGGTGGGTGTCCTGTAACCCATGACGCCCCACCTGGGCTCCTTTTCTGGAGGCCAGTCAGTGCAGGAAACCAAAAGGCGTCCTGTCTGGATAAAGCGGGACCCATTCCTCATCTATGCATCATGGAGGGTCCAGCTCATTCGGGGGAGAATATTCAAGTTTAGATTCTGAGCACCCCATTTGCAGAAGGCATGGATGACAGTCACACCCCAAGATCCATTTGCAGGGTTCCTTGAATTCCTTACGCCTCTGTTGAATCCCTTCTGATCACTGACCAGAGGTAGACCATCTTGCCCTCAGGCAGAGCGTTGCAATGTGCACTCCCTGTCCAGCCAGGCCCCCCCCCCCTCCCCCCCCCGGCAGATTCTGAGGGACTTGCCAGGGTGTGCCCTTGATGGAGATCACCCTCCCAGGGACAGTACTGGGAGTTGCATAGTCAAGAGTCATGTCTTATCAGTTGTTCCCTTCCTTGGTCAGAAGACCCTGAGCCAGTTTTGTAAGCTTTTCTATCCAAAATGATGTAGGTGTCCCAATCACGGTCCTGTTCTCACTTCTGCAGTCCCATCTGTAGCTGTGATGCTCATCTGCCACCAATCATGACTTTGAGTTCCCTAGGTTCCACACCCCATTTAATGAGCCCCCTGGTTCTGCATCCTAGGATGCCATCATGACCTCTTGCTAATGGCCTCCCTCACTCTGATGATGTGTCTTTGTGTGGTCTTTATCCCATGTGAGACTTAATAAATGTTCTCCTTAAAACTATATTTGTATGGATGGATGTGATAAGAGTTGTATGAGCCCCTAATAAAACGATTTAAAAAAAACTATATTTGAGGTTGGGGGGGGTCTCTTTTGTACGGTAAACCAGCACTAAGCAACTATGGCGCCTTCCCTCCTTAGTAACTCAGAACTAAAGTCAGGAGGTGAGCAGAGGGCGGTGGTCTTCCCTGGTGCACAGGGGACGCATGGGGCCAGAGGAGGGGTGGCAGAGCCCCGTCAAGCTGAGAGGCTCTCTCCACACAAGGGGATGGGCCACAAGGGGGTGAAATGTCCGACTGAGAGCGAGCCCGTGCCTGGGTCAGCTTGGCGAGGGATGCCACAGCCTGAGTGGGTAAGGAGGGAGGCACAACATGGAGTCAGAGCCAGGGCAGGGGGAGAGGCATCCTCTTGGAAGGGTGGCCTGGAATGGGGCGTCACAGACTGAGTGCAGTGAGGGAGGTGTGCTATGTCACAGGACAAGGAAGTCATCCACGTAGCTGAAGGGAGAGCAG